AAAGACTGGAGTGAACTTTTTATAAGATTTACTTGTGTTATTTAGATTTATTGGTCAAATATGCTAACTTATAGTCAACACATTCCATAAAGAATCTTCCAAAATGATAGGGACAAAGATCAAAGATGGAATGTCAAAGCGAGTTTAGTTGGCATGTTGTTGTTGGTTCTAAGATCTTATTTGCAAAACAATAAATACGGTATATTCATAGGAATAATATGAAGATGATTGCATCATGGAATTGTCCTGACCCCAATCCTATTCAAGTATTTAATCTTGTGTTTGTATTAAAAGAAAAAAACAAAAGCTCTGTAATTATATGTGTATACCAAAATTTTTGCATGTCATGTTGCATCACATTGTAAAGTGTTCGAAAAAAGTATTTGTTTCTTAATACAATATAAAATGCAGAGAAAAGTAAGGGAATAAATATTGTATGGTATAAAATATTTAGGTGAGTACTTTTCTACAAATTTTTAATCTCCCTTACTAAGTAATAGGGGAAAGATATACAAAATTCTCAGGTTGCTCTACAAAAAGTTTTCATTTAAGTTGTGTAACTAGAGAATTTTATCTAAAGATATATTATCAAGTGTTTATAACAAATAATACGAAAAAATATGGTAATAATGATGAATTTTACTTTTCATCTCTCATACTCTTCTTCTCTAACCCGTCCCATACAGAACTTTTTTCCTCAAACCCTTCTTGTCTGAACCTTCTCATATGTATCTTCTTAGAGACTTCTCCAAGAATGGATGTGTATCATATATATATAATCGCACTCAGGTGCGAATGCTTCGCCCAGGCGCGTAATAAGAATGAATTCTGTCCGTCCACGTGTCCAGATCTAATGGATGAGAAACACTGATTTTTTTTAAAAACGCGGTGACATTTTCGTAAATAATTGAACATCGAAGTGCAAGTAAAATATATTACAAGTGCATGTAAAATGTATTATAGGTGCAAGCAAAAAATTTACACTGAGCATCAATACTTAGTTGCACCTATAGTTCTAAGTAGTTGCACCTATAGTTCTAAGTAGTTGCACATATAGTTATAAGTAGTTGCACCTAGGTGTATAAATGTTTGCGAGTGGTTTTCAGGGGTATTACTACCCGCTGAACTCAGATCAATGAATGTGAACAAGGCAAAATTACATGCACTTATAGGTGAAAGTAGGTGCACCTATAGTTATAAGTAGTTGTACCAATAGTTATAAATAGTTGCACATATAGTTATAAGCACACCAAGGTCCATAAATGTTTGCGGAAAGTGAATGCTAACAAGGCAAAATTACATGCACTTATAGGTGAAAGTAGGTGCACTTATAAGTGATTTTACTTGCACTTCGATGTTCAATTATTTACGAAAATGCCACCGCGTTTTTTTTTTAAGTTATTAGATTTGGACACGTGTCGCGCGCTGATTCGTTCGCATATTCCTTCCTGGGCACTTATTCGCACCTGAGTGCATCCCTATATATATATATATATATATATATATATATATATATATATATATATATATATATATATATATCCAAACTCTCAAGAGAAGTTACAAGGAAGTTTCATGATGGTTAAGCTCAACTTGTCACAGAGGTGAAACTTTGGAAAAATGACTAGGGATCAAGTCTCACCAGCGGCAGTGTGGGAGCAACCTCTCAAAGTGAGGGGGTTCCTTGTGCGCAGTGAAAATAGGTCTAGCCTTTGAATTACCATGATTTACATCCTTCCAAATGCTCTATCGAGTCGGGGTGTGTGGGGCCCTTAGGATTGGATTTCAGCCTAAGGAAAAATAGGCCACCAGCGTTCTAGTGCTACCATCATAAGGGTTTCACACTTCCACCAACTGAAACAAGGAGAAATAAGAAATCATGAAACATGTTGGAGCAAAGTGATGCCATTGCCACGATTATAACTAAAGCCAACATAGTCTAAGATCCAGAATAATGGGTGGTGGATACTAGAACTTCCTAGCAATTCTGAGCGAATCAAGATTATTTTGTAGAAACTTGATTTCTAGAGCCCCAATTGAACAAGGTTAGAATCAAGTTAATTTGTGAGGTTGACCATCTAGTCATGACCCGACGTGGGGAGTATGTTGGGAAGAGATACTTAGGTGGTGGACTATTTGTTTTGCCTATTATTCCTAATACTTATCATGACATTTCTGAGTTTATTTGCCTGAAAACTAATAAAAACAACAACAACAACAACAACAAATAATTAATTAACAAAATATAATCAAGTATCGATACGAGTAGTGCACTACTACTCGAACCCATAATGGATATTTTTTCTCTATCCGAACCTATCCCAAACTCGATTATCCACTACTCGAATCCATCCTGTCAAGGTTTAAGTACCCAAAAATACTCAACATGTTGTCATCTCTATTTGAGAGAGTTGTCTATTAATTAAAAGTCTAAAATGAAAGAATTAACTTTATTGGAGTCAATTAGGTTTTAGTATAGTTTGTAATAAATTAAATAAATAAATGTTATTTAGTTTTAATTGCAATAAAGAAATAATTTTAATTAAAATAAATAAGTAACATTATAAAAAAAAATTAAATGTCTTTTATTCACTAATGATGCATCAAATGTTGTATACATTTTTTTTAAATGTCTTTTATTTCAATATTTTTTTATAAAATGGAAAAATGGGATTGTTATTATGAACTGTGTTTAGAAAAGAAGGAATAAAACAAGTTCTATATGATAAATAATTAAATATAGTGAGTCGTGGTCCACATAGCGTTATGTGGACCATGGTCCAATACGATTGTCAAATGAAAGTGTAGTAAAGTTAAAATGATACTTTAGTGTTGATAAAATGTAACTAGTGTATGAAAAATAAAATTAAAAAAATAGAGTTCATAAAATAATGTATAATGTTAAATGAAACTACGTATTTTAGTAGAATTAAAATAATACTTTAGTGTTACTATAATGAAACTAATGTGTGTAGAAAATGAAACTAAAAAACAAAGTCCGTACAAAAACATATATTGTCAAATGAACAAGAAGTGTAATTAAAATTATACTTCAACGTTACTATAATTAAATTAGTGTGTGTAGAAAATGAAACTAAAAAAAAAAAAAAACAGAGATCATGGAATAATGTATATTGTCAAATTAAACTGCAGTAGAATTAAAATGATACTTTAGTATTGCTATAATAAACCTAGTGTGCATGAAAAATGAAAATAAAAAACAAGACAATATTGTCAAAAAAAACTGAAGTGTAATTAAAATGATACGACGTCATTTTATTTCATGATCCATGTTGCAACATGGACCATGATCCACATTAAAATTTACCGCATGCCTAGGCAAATTATTGTGTGAACCGTGGTCTACATAGATGTGTGGACCACAGTTCAAAATATCGTCGTGAATATTATGAGTAAAAATAATGTACATTATGTGTTAGAATAATGTAAATTATGTGTTAGAATAATGTACATTACGTGTTAGAATAATATAATGTACATTACTTGTTTAGAATAATGAAATATCTGAGGTAACATAATGTACATTATGTTTTAGAATAATGTACATTATGAATTATAAAAATATATATTGCAGCTGAACATGCAAAACAATAAAATTAAACAACACGGTGTTGTTTTTGGACTGTGGTCCACAAAGCTTTGTGGACCACAGGTCCATGCAATAACTATTGGCATGCCTAATTGAAGATTTTAGTTCATTTTTGTTACACAAAATTTTGAAACCCAATTAATTATCTTAATAGCCCAAGCATTAGCCCATTCTTTGTTGAATAATCCTTAAGCCCAACCCAAAATCGTATACGCAAATGTTATTATATTGTAGAACAAGTCATGTAGGATAGGGCAAATTATGCTCCAATCGATATGCCATGGAACCGTGTTTACCATAGATGGTGAACACGGTCTCAACGATAACGGTGCACCATTATTTTTTTTTATTTTTCTTAATTAATCGCGTGATTTTTCTTCTTTATTTTCACATTTCGCGGTTTCACTTTCTCTTCGCACAATTACTTCAACATTTATAAATTATGAATGTGCAGGTATGAATTTATGAATGTGCAATTATGAAATTATGAATTTTTTTTTATGAGATTATGAATTTTCTGTTATGAAATTATGAATTTTTTGTTATGAGATTATGAATTTTCTGGTTTGCGATTATGAATTTTTTGTTATGAAATTATGAATTTTCTGTTACAAGTTTATGAATTTACATAAAATTCATAATTACATAACTGTAAATTCATAATCTCATAATAGAAAATTTATAATTTAATAAATGTTTTCTTTATACGATTATGAATTTTCTGTTATGAGATTATGAATTTATAGTATATTACTATATTCATAATCTCATAACAGAAAATTCATAATCTAAACAAACGCGCGCCGTTAACAGCACATTAACTAAAAAAAAATGTCCATAAAAACGACACCGTTTGGACTCGTGTTCACCATTCATGGTGAATACGTTTCCAGAGCATAATTTGCGATTATGCTCTGCATCCGGCATGGTGCACACGGTTGAACAGCATAATTTGTCCCCAAACAGGGGCCTCTGACAGAGCAATGGTTATGTTGTGCAACCGTGTGCACCATGTAAAAACGACGTCATTTTGACTAAAAACACGTGTTTCACTTAAAAAAAATCAATTTCGATTCCCCTCAACAGCATTATGTTGTTTTAGTTCATTCATTCTGGATATTTAGATAGAAATTAAAAATGATTTTTTTTTTCAGTTCATTCATTGATACTGTACTCAAGTCAAGACCCTAACTCCACCACAAAAGCTAGCTCATGAGTCGAGATTTGGCCTCAACTTAAGTATCACTCCACAATCTATTGCGGAGTCGATGTGGGAACATAATATTTTGCAACCGTGTGCATGGTTGCACAGCATAATTTGCCCTGACGGAGTTCACACTTCGCGTTGTTCTCAATCGTAATGCCCGGGCGAATTTCTTCCCGGATTCTGAAGATACACCCGGAATCAATTCGCGTTCTCTTCATGTTCCTAGTTATTGACTGCAATTTCGTTATGGATGTGATGTTTTCAGTGGGTCCCAGAAATGAGCGTTTTGCGGCTACAGTTAGACGATTCTCGCCGCTTCGCTTGCCTGGCTGCACGCCAACCTCTTGCTTCGTCGCCATTACCATCACTGCATTTCAACCTCTCATGTCATCGCGTCAAAATTTTCAATCCCACGCCCACCCTAGCATTTAAACCTCTCTCTAACAGTTATTTTGCTGATTGATTTGATAGATTGGTTGACTCTCCCCTCCCCATGGTATTCTCTCTCTATCTATTGATTTGCCTAAACTGATATGCATCTAATTTTCAGTTTGTATTGATGATTTGATTCGTTTTCTACAGTGCTTTACACATATTTATGGTACTTGTATGCAGGTAGATATCTGATTCTTCGTTTTCGTTGTCCCTTTCGCTATATACTGGTATCTATCTACTTTTCTCTCCTTTTCTTTGTCCCTTTCTTGTAAAGTGCATTAATTTATTAGTTTTCAAGTTAATTAAAATAATAAAGGGTTCTGATGTGATTCTTGGGCACTAATCTCTCTTTTAACTGGTGGCACTTTTGCTTAAGGAAATCTATTTTGTTTATATATGTATGTTTGAGTGGCCAGTAAGCTTGGAGTGGGGTAGATGAGTTTTCTGATTTGCTCAAATGCTTTGTTTGTGGGGAACACAGTTTTCTTTCCGTTAGAAACATTTTAGTTTGGTATGGTCACAACTCAGAAGGCCACTTTCAACTTCAAAGGGCCACACTGAGAGCCGGAGAGGAAATTAATTCAGTATTTAATGTTTAATTGAGCTATGGTAAGACCATAACAGTAATTTTTTTCAAAAAAAAAAAAAAACAGTAAGAAGTGCAATATTTTCACTTGTAGTTCTTAATAAGGACTCCCTCTATCTTATTTTACCTATCATTTTATTATCCATGAGTCAAATCAATTATATATTTTTTTGTTTATTTTCTTTAGTATTTTTTAAATTTATCTTTTGGTGTTTAATAGTATTTGTGTAATGCAGTTTTTAAATATATAAATTTTATATACTAATACTAAATTTAACATTATGAAAAATTGAATAAAAAATAACCTCAGTCAAGCTTTGTTAACCAAATTAGGCACATAAAATGGGATTGATGAGTAAAAATACAAAGATAATTCAAGCATACTAATTTAGATTGACTATATATATATATATATATATATATATATATATATATATATATATTTGCTAATTTAAACAAACATATAAAATAATAAGAGAGTATATATTATTGAAATGTGAGATTGACCATCTACAGTACTACTGCATTATAATAAGTTGCCATCTTCCTGTACACTTATACATAATATATTGCAAGTTGCCGAATATTTTCTTGGTCTTCATTAGAAAAACATCATTTTTACTATTGTTGTTTTTTTCTCTTTTAATTTTATTTGAAGAATAATAATTGTCTGGTTTTAAATTGTGTTCTTGAATGATAGGTACAATGGGTTTATTATCAATTGTATTCTTCTTTGTTTTTCGTTTCTATGTTTGGTTCAGACTTCAATGACTTGGAAATTTCTATGATAAAACCAGTTGGGCCATGGTTTAATATTCAAAACATGAATACAAGGTTTGGACCCATTGCTGCTTTTTCAGAGAAAACTTTGACTTCTCTACGTGTTTTGTGTGTTTCATAAGAAATCGAGTTGTTCTAAGTTTGGGGTTGAATATTTTTGCATACTTGTATGACTTGGAGCCAATATTATTCCTCAACTATTTATAAGTGGTGCCAACTGGAAACTATTTGCAATAATTTATCATATTTCTTTACTCTTTTTCTTCCTCTCTCCCCACACACACCTCGCCTTCCTGGTCAATGATGGACACTGGATTTAGATTTGTAAAACAACACCGAAAGAAGTTATTTTGAAGTTACCAATGATAATAGCCCAAGAAAAGTCTGAAAAGAAAGAGTTATTAACATAACATGTACTAATAGTTAACTGTTCACTTACTATTCCCCATGGTGTTTGTGTATATAGTCTATCTCATCATCTATAAGATTGCATTGAAGGTACAATTCGTGATGCACTTATGTGCAGGCATACAAATACCCCTGCATATTCTTTACATGTAAAATGTGTGGATATATATATATATATATATATATTATGTTCTTTTCAATTTTCATGTTTGACCTCCTGTATAGTTGTTGCAGTTGTCATTTTTTTATGCACTCTGTTTGTTTCCTGGGGTGGAGTAGTTGAACTTAGATTATTATAAAGCTACCACTTGCATCATCCTGATTGGATCATTGTCATCCCGTCTTGCAGATTGAAACTGCAATAAATTTTCTCCTGCAACAATTGAAGATCAAGTAGATTGAGAAGATTGAGAAAGGTGACCATGGAGCCTGGGAATATTGAATCTGGGCTCAGAAGAAGTGCATCTTATGCACGTTCTAGCAGTTCCCGTTCTCTGGGGAGGAGTTCTCGTAACTTGTCATTTTCTATTCCCCCACAGCCAGAAAGTGATGATGGCAGTGAATCGGTATCAGAAGCGGGAGATATTGGTGATAGGGTAATTTGCAGCAATAGGTACAGTGGGAGTGGTAGGGTATTCTTTTCTGCTGAAAATGCAGCAGAAAGTGGTATGGTTGTACCTATTGCAGAGGAAGGTATCTGGTCTCAAGATCAAATCGCTACAAACAATGTTTCTCCTGTATCACCATCTATCCCGGATATTGCATTGAAGGTGAGTTATTTGCTCTTTGTTTTTTCCTTTTTGTTTTCTTGTTTTTTTGGTCTGTCTCTCTTTTTTTAAAGATGAAGACATTTCCAATTAATTGTGATAAAAGTGTGATTTGTATGCAGGATTGCAAAAAGGAGGTGCCATGGTGGTTGGAATACTTTTCAAGCTTACTGTTTCTTGCTGTTTTCGGAATACTAGGGGTAAATGCCTTTATAATTGACCTTGTTAATATGTTGATTCAAAACCACATGTTTTTGTTTCCCATTCTTTGGAATCATTATTTTGTCATTTGTATAGTGCTGCTGCAATCATCCACCCACATCATGTAACTAATCTGCTCTTTGCCTTGCCAACGATGATGTTACGAGTCCCACATTGATAAAATAAGAGAGAACATATGGGTTTATAAGGTCATGGGTTAGACTAGCTAATAGGTTGGATTCCATCTTTTAGTGTGGTTTGGCTCATGTGCATTTTATAACATAGTATCAGAGTCTGTTCAGTCCACCTCCAATCCCTTCTGTTATGTATTATATGCAGGTTTTGTTGAGGTATGCTCTTCAAAAATTGTTTGGACCGGGAAATATTGGTGCCACAAGTGATCGAAGCTATATGTATGTTGACCTTCCTTCTAATATGGTAACCTTTGTGCTTTGCTTCCTCTTCTTTCTACATGAAAACACATGTCCCAGATAATGCTCCATCTCACATGGAGCCAAGAATTTATATTCTTTTGTTTGTTTCATAGGTTGGTTCATTTTTAATGGGTTGGTTTGGCGTGGTTTTCAAAGGACAAATTTCCAAAATTTCAGATCAGTTGGCCATTGGATTGTCAACTGGTTTTCTGGGAAGCCTTACTACTTTTAGTGGTTGGAACCAGAAGATGCTTGATCTCAGTGTTGAAGGTCGATGGGGATTTGCAGTACTTGGCATTCTTATAGGTACCGAATTGTTCTTAGAACAACTTGAGTTAACATTTACAACCGTCTTCTGTAGTTTGTGCTGTCGTTGATGGAGGTTTCGATTCTTGCAGGCTTGTTTCTTGTAGCCTACTCTATTATTTTCGGTATTGAGACTGCAAAAGGCTTTCAATGGATTTTGAGTACGAGTAAAAATCCCAGCTCTGAAAGCTCTTGGAAGATGAACAATTTCAAACGGCAAATGACAGTTTCATTAGCATTGCTGCTTATTCTGGCTGCTCTATGGAGCATGTGTATAGCACTGGAGGCCAACGAATTTAAAAGAGGCAACACCGAATCCCAGTTGTGGTTGGCTTGCCTTGTCGGACCATTTGGTGTCTGGATCCGGTGGTTCTTAGCACGATTAAATGGACGAGGCCTGGGGAAATCAGGCTTGCTGAAATGGGTACCCTTTGGAACCTTGATCGCCAACGTCTCTGCAGCCTGCTTCATGGCGGCTCTAGCAACCTTAAAGAAAGCGGTAACTTCCTTTTTGTGGCACTCGAACTGTTGGGCGAAGACCTAAGACACCAAGTCGAGCATACTGAAAGACAGAATGCTGGACTTGGCTCTTCAGACCTCTGCTCGATATGAACTTGTGTGATTATCGATTTACTCTCGTGACTTGTGTGTTGATTCAGGTGAAAACGAAGGACTGCGATACCGTTGTTGCAGGGATTCAGTTTGGGATGTTGGGTTGTCTTAGTACAGTGTCCACCTTCATTGCTGAATTCCATGCAATGAGAGAGAGCAAATACCCATGGAGAGCATATGCATATGCCATGGCTACAATACTTGTATCTTTTACTTTAGGGACTTTATTATACTCTGTACCAGTCTGGACAAAGGGATACTAACTAGAGGATTAGAGGATGATGTTTATGCAAAATCCAAGCTAGAAATAGGGGATCTAAGCTATTAGGGGGAAATTTAAAGTGATCATGATACATTGTGATTTAATTATGAATATGTTGAGTAAACTGCATGAGCTTTCTTGGTAAAATCAGAGTCTGAAACACTATTTTGGTCTGTTTTAATATTTAGTTCTATTTTCATTATTGAGACAAGCCACTTGACTGTAAGTTTCTTGAAGGTGCCTTACAAGACTAGCTCAGTTGGTTTGATCGATCATCTTAAAACTTTGTTCCAGCGGCAGTGTGGGGATTCAAATCCCATTGGGAATTTGGAGGTCATTGTGAGACCTTGATCGATCAGAGGCAGTGTTGCAAAAATCGCGCCTAGGCGCTAGGCGGTCGACCTCCTAGGCGCCCACCTAGGCGCTCTAGGCGATCCCCAGGTACCTAGCGATTTTTTCAACATTGATCAGAGGTGATGTAGACTCTTTATGAATAGAGTGTACAGGCAAGGGGTGGAAACCTGAGGACTGACTAGGCGTCTTGCAATTTACTTCCTCCAGCACCTCTTGGGGTGGTTCCAAGGACTTAAAGATTAGTCTGGCGTAAGTTTGGAAAACCTAATGTATCAGGTGTTTTACATTGGCTGGTCTAATTGAGTTGCAGAGTTTAGAAACATGATAGACAGTTTGATAACCAACTAGTGTGAAGGTAAGAATTGAAATTTATAATTAAGTCAACATGATACAGATAGGATTCACTGAGGCAGTGAAAAAGCATTTCAGCACCACTGGAAGAATAACTGGTTTCTGTTCTTCAATCTGCAGGTTTTAGTAATCAGACTCAAGCAAAGAAGGTGATGTTCTTGAGGTTGCTGTTTCTGATTTGGCTTCGATCTGCCGGACACCCTCAATCATCTTAACAACCTCTCCCATTTTAGGCCTTTGGTCCGGCATCCTCACCACACATGACAGAGCTATCTGCAACATCTCCACCATTTCTTCCTCTATGTTTGGAGACCTGAGCAGCTCCACATCAAACACTTCCGCTGTCCACTCTTCCCGGACGACCGAATGCACCCACCGCACTAAATGTATGATCTCATCCCCGCTCGTCGTGTGCACGGGGGACTTCCCGGTGAGGAGCTCAAGCAACAACACGCCAAAGCTGAACACATCAGACGGCTGTGTAGCCTTTCTGGTGTCCATTACTTCCGGGGCACGGTAGCCAGCAGCACGTGCTAGGGGTGGAGGCAACGAGCCCATGATCGCTGACAGACCAACGTCGGCTACACACCCATATTGCCTCGAGTTCAGAAAGACGTTCGAGGATTTAATGTTGCCATGAACCATCTTCCCCCCGTTTGCTCCATGGATCCCCGCAATTCCCCTTGCTGCACCTATGCCTATCTTTACCCGCGTTTCCCAATCCAAAGGTACCATATTTTCTCCCCTATTTCCTGCAGATTGAGAGATATATATGTGAGGAATTAACACTTTACAGGATGAAATGTCAGAGATTGAATAAAGAAGCATACATACATACCATGCAATATTGCAGCAACACTGCCTTGGCTGAAAAAGTCACAGACAATGAGCTTCTCTTCTTTGGAATAGTAGTATGCTCTAAGCTCAATCACATTCTCATGTTTTATGCTTCCCACAACCTCCATTTGCTGCTCGAATTCCTTCATCCCAACCCCCACTTCCTTCAACCTCTTCACCACCACCGTCGTTGCATCCTCTAGTATCGCTTTGTAAGCCATACCGAACGTTCCTTTCCCAAGAACCTCTGCAGAAGCTCTCAGAAGGTCCTCTAGATCGAACGCATAGTTACATCCCTCGAAGAAAACCAGACTATTGTTGTTCGCACCTTGCCCCCGTGAAATCGCCTTTTCAGGTGACATAATACGCCCCTTCTCCAGTTTCCCCAGGAAACCCGCATCGCGTTTCCTTCTCAGACAACAAACCAGCAACACAAAACCAAACCCAAGAATGGCAACTACACTCCCAGCCACTACAGTTCCAAGCAAAGCCTTCTCACTCAATTTTCCAGTTTTGTTGGGTTTAAGGTTTGGTTGGGGAGGCAGGGAAACAATAGGGGGACTAGAAACAGTGTAATCTAAGAAAGAAACATTATTTCCAACAAACACACTTTTGGGAAACCTTTGAAGTGACTTAGGCACAAATCCAGTGAGACCATTGTTAGACAAATTCAAAAGCTGCAGCCTAGGCAAATTCAAGTCAGGGATTTCCCCTGAGATTGAATTGTTAGCAAGGTTTAAGGAAGTGAGACGACTCAAACCCGAGATCGAATAAGGAATGCTGCCATTAAACCCATTGTTAGACAGGTTAACACTAGTAAGATTCTTCCAGACAGAGAAATCAGAAGGCAAAGGACCAGACAAATTGTTGTGCTGCAAATAAAGACAAGACAAGTTCTTCAAGTTACCAAAGTCTGGAGGGAAATTCCCAGAGATGCCATTGGATCTGAGGCTCAAGATCTGCAGTGCTGACAAGCGGCCGAGAGTGTCGTTTGGAATTGGGCCATGAAACCCAACCCCAGGTAGCCTCAATGCTATCACTCTTGACCCATCTTCATTGCAGGTCACTCCAGTCCAATTCTTGCAGACAGGCAGCCTCTCATCCCAGTTCAGAGCCCTGGAATGAGGGAGTTCTTTAACAAACTCCAGCAATGCCTGCTTATCTTGCTCATCAACAATGGTGGTGCCACTGCCTTCTGACAGCACCAACACCCACCATAGCAGAGCCAATGAGCATACATTTCTCAGCCCCCCCTCCATTGCAAGATTCTTTTTTGATCAATATTTCAAACTCTTGAAGACATTTTGGAGCTAGGAAGAAGAAGAAGAAGAAGGGGTGGCAGCTTAAATCCTTAAAGCAAAAAACACAGACTGACTGGTGACAACTATATATAGGTGCATGTGAAGGGGGAGGAGAAGCACTGGAGATTGTTTAATTTAAAGAACTGGAGATCTCAAGGTTTGGAAGGAATAGAGGGAATTCTTGTTTAATTTAAAGGAGGGATCTTTGGCTCTTTGCCTTTGCCCTTTGGGCCTGAAAGACTGGAAAACTCTGAACATGCTTTTTCTTTTTGTTGTTGTTTGCTCTTTTGCTTTTTTCCCTTTGGTTTTTAAAATCTGGGTTTTATAGCATGAGTGCCAAATCCAAGAACTTGATTCAGAACAAGTTGTAAAAAGACAGGACTTCACATATTTTACAGCCATTTCTACCTGGAGAAGTGAGCTATGGCAATAGTACAGTACCATATTGTCCCCCTTTTATTGGGGGCTGGGAAAGGTTTCTGGGCAGAAAATTCCATGATCAGCCCTAGGGTTTCACAATTCACATATCAAAAAATGGGATGATAAAGTCATCATGCCCCTCTAAACTTACTCACTAATCATTCCTTTATAGCCCAACATTCCTTTATATAGTAGGGATGGGTAGTATAGGTCAAACTTTTTCTACTTTCATTCAAAACCAGTTTCCCATTTGGCATCAGATCTGGGGAATGAGTATAATGCAATTGACTTACCTAGATGTTTGATTTCAAATGTAAAAGATTCTTTGATGTTATAGATTTTTCCGTAACTCTAGAAATTCCTCAATTACTGGTTAATTTTTCGGCCAATTAAAAGAAGTCAGGAATTAGGGAATTTTTCAAACTTTTTTTTTTTTTTTTTTTTTTTTTTTTTTTTTTTATCATCGTATCGTATTTTGAGATTTTAGTCTTTAAAGATCCAAGAGAAATAGTTATATCTTTGACACACAAATACACAAGCCTATCAACTGATTAGAGACATCCCAAAAGTGTAGCAAATTAAAAAGTTTTAACTATAATTTCAAATATTTACTTTAAATATAACAATTTATTACTTAAATAACGGATAATGGTCGGTGTAATCCATGGAGTATAACTCCCACTAAGCGTTTACTTTTTATTGGATGAAAAAAAAAAAAGAATAAACAAAAATCATGGCTTACCCCTTTTTATTAATCAATCAAAGCATGACAAAATATTAAAAATAAATACACAACCAAATTTAAAATTTATTTCCTTTTGATCTTCAATAATGTTGCCAAATCTCCAATCATTAAAATATTGAGTTAATACCCAAAATCGTCCTCGACTATAGTGGTTTTTCTCAATTTCGTCCTAAACGACTTTGGTGACCTAATATCGTCCCAGACTTTTGTGTTTTGCTCAATTTAGTCTCAGACTTTTGTGTTTTTGCTCAATTTAGTCCCTCATTTGTTATTCTGTCCATTTGGTGTTAAATAAATAGACATTTCAATAATTTTAATATTGGCATCTCTTTACTCATAGACATGTGAACTGCGAAATCCTTTTTTTTTTTACGAATTACTCCCAGAATTACTCCTAAAACTGCGAATGTAAAATTTGATTTGCAGGTCCGGGAGTAATTCTGGGTGTAATTCGTACAAGAAAGAGGAATTTCGTACTTCACAAGTTGAAAGTAAAGAGATATCAATATTGACATTACTGAATTGTCCCTTAATTTAACACCAATTTGACGGAATAACAAATAAAGGACTAAATTGAGCGAAACACAAAAGTCTGGGACGATATTAGGTCACCAAAGTCGTTTAGGACAAAATTGAGAAAAACCACTATAGTCGAGGACGATTTTGGGTATTAACTCTTAAAATATTAGTTATTAAGAGTAATACTCCAAAAACCTTGTGGTTGAGTGGCATGACTATTGTTCTCTCAGAAGATCACAGGATTAAACCCTAGTGGGGTAACACAAACACAAAAAAAAAAAAAAAATTGAATTATTATTCTACTCATTTTTACATTATAAACACTTAACTAATAATATAGATATATAGCTATACACTATTACTTTATTATTTTCATCAATATATTTCCTATTGTGACCTATTAAGTATTAACATACTAAAAATTAGTACCCTATTTTGACTAAACTAGGGATGGCAACGGGGCGGGGCGGGGGCGGGGAATGGGGTCCCCGTCCCCGTCCCCGAAATCTCTTCCCGTTCCCCGTCCCCGCCCCGTTCCCCGGCGGGGATGGAGAATTATTCCCCGTCCCCGTCCCCGCGGGGATTTTTCGGGGACGGGGAATCCCCGTTTCATTTTTTGAAATATCCCAATGAAAAAAAAAGGACTAAAATTATCTAAATTGAGAAGTCAGCAGAAGCTTCTTGGCTTCTTGCCTTCCCACATTTGCAATGCCCAGCTTCTTTCGTGGGAACTCATCCTCTTCCTGGACTGCTTTATTATATTTGATAGCAAGATTATTTAGCATTTTCTACGCGTGAGATTATCAAAAGCAAGCAGCTTTTCCAAAAGCTTTCATAGCATGATTGAAATCCAAAAAAAACATAAAAGCTTTACCCATTGCAATATCAAAAAAGATAGCTATTGTGCATGTTCAACAGTGACTCCCCTATATATATTTGATGATGTCAAAATGAGGATCATTGCCCAAAGTCAAAGAAGAGTTAAAGTGCTATACGACTATATTCCCTAAAATACAAGCAGGTTACGTAGTTCATCACCTGAGAGTTTTATTATTATTAATATTATATATTATATATTATATATATTATATATAATTTTAAACGGGGATTCGGGGACGGGGACGGGGATCGGGGATCGGGGTCGGGGTTGGGGCGGGGAATGCCGTCCCCGTCCCCGTCCCCATCCCCGCCCCCGTTCCCCGAAAACAATCCCCGAACCCGCCCCCGTCGGGGCAGGGATCGGTTTTCCCCATCGGGGGCGGGTTGAATTGCCATCCCTAGACTAAACCTGTCAGTAAGTATATATGTTACAAAAATTTATAATATAGTTTTATAAATAAAATAGTAATTTCACGTTTACAATTCACAATAGTATTATCATTTTTTTTTTATTTAAGAGTAGTAATTAATCATTTTCACTAATTGAGATTTATAAAATTTTTCATATTTTATTAGTATGAAAATTTTTCCAAAAGTTAAAAGCTAGCGAAGCATTATTATGAAATTATCAGTTTTGGTGCAAGGGACTCTTTACATCATCACCTATAAGTGGACAATTATATTGTACTAACTACTAAGTACTAACTAAAGCCAACAATCATTTCTTGTACTTTTTCCTGCCCTATTCACCACAAATTCTTTTTTATTTTTTATTTTTTTGAAAACACAAATTCTTTTTTTTTTTTTTTATCATTTCCTCTCCACTCCCCGAAACCTTCTCCGGGGCAAATTATGTCCTGAGCACGTGCCCACCACGCACATGGTGCACACGAATCTATATTCATAATTTTTATACTATAGATTCATAATTGAGTTAATACCCAAAATCGTTCTCGACTATAGTGGTTTTTCTCAATTTCGTCCTAAACGACTTTGGTGACCTAATATCGTCCCAGACTTTTGTGTTTCGCTCAATTTAGTCCCAGACTTTTGTGTTTTTGCTCAATTTAGTCCCTCATTTGTTATTCTGTCTATTTGGTGTTAAATAAATAGACAATTCCGTAATTTTAATATTGACATCTCTTTACTCATAGACATGTGAACTGCGAAATCTTTTTTTTTTTTTTTTTTTTTTTTTTTTTTTTTTTTTTTTACGAATAACTCCCAGAATTACTCCTAAAACTGCGGATATAAAATTTGATTTGCAGGTCCGGGAGTAATTCTGGGTGTAATTCGTACCAGAAAGAAGAATTTCACACTTCACAAGTTGAAAGTAAAGAGAGATCAATATTGACATTACTGAATTGTCCCTTTATTTAACACCAATTTGACGGAATAACAAATAGAGGACTAAATTGAGCGAAACACAAAAGTCTGGGACGATATTAGGTCACCAAAGTCGTTTAGGACGAAATTGAGAAAAACCACTATAGTCGAGGACGATTTTAGGTATTAACTCATTCATAATTTCTATACTGTAGATCCATAATTTCTAGAATTTCGGTGAGCTAAGATTTATACTTTAGATTCCAATTGTTGAACTATGTTTTTCACAAATAAGAGCAGTATAGAAATTATGAATCTACTGTATAGAAATTAATCAATTATGGATCTACTGTATTTAAATTATGGATCCTACGATTTTAGAAATTATGAATCTAAAGTATAAATTTTAACTCACCGAGAGTCTAGAAATTATGGATCCACAATATAGAAATTATGGATATAAATTCATACCCAGGGCCGGATATTAGGTTTTTGTGGCCCTGTTCTGGAAAATAACTGAGGCCCTCCAAAATCATAATTTTTAAAACTAACATATGTCAGTTTCGAACCTTTGACCTCCAAGTTAAAATACAATAAATACACATTACTACTATCTCTTCATGAAACCTTTTAAATTTGATTGAAAACTTTTAATTTTTATTTCTAAACTAGCTAGGTAAATATTAAATATTAGGCCTCTAAAATTTGGGGCCGCTCTAAAATTGGGGGCCCTGTGCGATAGTCCAGCTTACACAGCCTGAAATCCGGCCCTGCAGCATGTAAAGTGGACACGTGCTCACAACATAATGATTGTCCGGCCAGTGCCACGGCTTTCAATTTTGGTAATCTATATATACCTTAATTAATTCATCCAAAATATTTGTGTTTTACGTTGAGAATATTCTATGCTACATTTATTTAAAAAAAAAAAAAAGAGTGAATAATGGGTTTATAATATTTTGAGTTGTGCTAAGTAATTTTTTGGATTTGATCTTTTAGGGTTATTTAGAAACCAGGAAAATAACTTTTGAAAAATGAATCACTTTCTAGAAAATATTTTCATTTTCTGTGTTTGGTTGCATTCTAGAAAACTGTCTTGGTATGTTTGGTTCATTTTCAAGAAAATAAACATAATTTTATAATTAAACATTTTAATGATTTTGTTTAGAATATAATAACATTTATAATCTAAAAACATAATAAGTCACAATCCAGGTTATACCCTTGATTTATTTCAATTTTTTCTGTTAATTTATATATATATATATATATATATATATATATATATATATATATATATATATATATATATATATATATATATATATATATATATAGGATTACATTCAAATACAAACGGTCCTTAAAATACAAACGTGTGGATTCATTAGGATCGTTGGATTTTAGAATTGGATGTCCAGGATTTGTTTAATTATTTATGGTGTTTTTAAGGGTCCGATCGGCTGATGTATTTTAGTGGGGTATTTTTGGATATTTTTATTTCTTAATATCGGTTCAATTCCTTCTCAAATTCAATCACCACTATTTTACGCGATATTCACGGTCTCTATCTCTTTCGATTCCGAACTGCACGACTGCCAAGGGATCCCTCTCTGTCGATTCACAATCATCATCAGCCGCCGCACGATGGTCGTCGGTGGGGTCTGCGATGGAGCCAAGCGATGGGGACCATCATCCCAAGGTTCAGATCGAGGTATTTTTTTGCTCCCCTTTCTCGTTTGGAATTTTTTTCTACTCGTTTTTTGGATCAATTTTGTTGGGGTGTTTG